TGAGTTTTACCGTTTTCAAATCCATTCAGCCGATCTCCGGGTCTGGCGTAGCACTTTTAGCTGTAGCTTAGCAGAGATAATTGAATCGGATTAGACCGTTAGCATCTCGCTCAAAAATGACCAAAGATTTTCTATATTTTTCCTATTTAAAACTTGACTCTTGTACTAAGACCGACGGAAAATGAAAAATTGCGATTTTCTAGGCCTATATGGCTAGGAACTATACTCTCATTCCGGCGCAATAATCAAGAAACTTTGCTGCCATACAATGGGTGCAGCAGGCGCAATGATATTACTCAGCGCCTGAAAATAGTCCCCAGCTAGGCGCTGCGTAATAACTTTTCATTTTCCGTCGGTCTTAGTACACGATGTATTCAATGATCTATGCTAAGCTACAGCTAAAAGTGCTACTGCCAGACCCGGAGATCGGCTGATTGGATTCGAAAATGGTAAAACTCAACTGTTTAACTCTAGGGGATTTGGAAAATGGGCCTATTTTCAAAAATAGTAGAGTGTTCCTTTAAACGAAAATCAAATGAATACAAATAATATTTGGGTAGGTCCTTAATAGGCATGTTCAAAGTCCTTTTAAGGCAAGTCAGTTCTTTGGTGACATCTTGGTTATGCCAGAGGGAAGTTATTTTTACTCTTGTCGGCATACTAAAAAAACAGCAAAGAACAATGCTACTAAACAAATTTATTAGACAGAACTGGCACTGGTAACTTAATACTTTACTCAATTTAATAATAAAAAAACATTGTCATTATATGTGGTTTTGGATTTGTTCTGATCATTACCTGTGGCCTCAGGTGCATCTCTGAGAAAGTCCACAAAGTAGGAATCCACCCCAAGATCCACCACCATTCGTTCTTCTTCCCCAAGCTCTTCTTCAACCAGCTTGGCCAGTGTGTAGTCAAACCAGGCCACATCCTCTGGGGCAGTAAACCGGTCAGCAATAACACGTTTGCATTCATGCTTCCACAGCCGTAGTAATACCTGGACCAATATTTTATACAAAATCTTTCTGTTTAAACAATGTACGTTGGGTTTCATTGAAAGAATATGGGAATAAAAAAAAATATTGAAAGTTGTTTACATTAACAGTTGATTCCATTAACAGTTAACATGAACTTCTATTGTATTTTTCTTACTGGCAACAACAAACATAATGCAACCAGTGTAGTCTAATATGCAAATGAATTAATCTATTGAGCCAGAGATATTACATGTTATCAAATAAAGTAGAATCATTAATGGAATTAAGGGATCAGTTTAGGAATCAGAATTATTAAGTGGAATCTCAATCAAAACCATGCAAGAATGGACAAATGGATGGCAATTAAAGGAAATACATACATACATACGACTTGCTTAATATGGTGTAATCTGTAATCATGGGTTACTGAAATTTCATTCAGATTGTTCATTGAGAGTCTGAATAAGATCAGAAATACAGTTCCACTCACATCAGACGAGCTATTAACCTCTGCAGTCACGCTGAGCATTCCCTGCCAGATGCGGGAGAGGTCACGCAGGTTAAAAATGTAGTGGAAGTTGGCGGGAGTGGGCAGCATTTTAACCTTTGTCATTTGCCATAGTTTTCGAGTCAGTGGAACCAGCCTGACCACTGTATTGCGTACTTCTTCTGAAAATCCCCGACGGGAACAGTAATGACCAGTGCCTATCACACCTGTGGCAGCAAAAGATGTAAATGGCATACTAAAGTGAATGAGAAAGGATTGTAGTTAACAGACAGGAAATTCACAAAAGTGAAGGACAGAATGAGCAAATGTGGCCTTTCTGAATGATAGAATACTGAGCTGAATAAGAATGACAATTGTCACAAGTGACAATATTACACACACATCGAGATTGGAGGCTAACCTGCATGTGAGCCTGAAATATCATTTCAAAACTGTGATATAAATATTCACTTATATCTTCAATATAAAGATTCAGGCCTTCAAGCAGAGAGAGAACCACTAACAACAACCCATAGTCAGAATCAATACGCAATTACAAAAATGGTTCTGCTTAAGCAAAGCTGTTGACAACCTTGACCGAATTAAATGAGATGTGATAAATCATATTTCTCTAAGCCAAGCCAAGAAGCATGTTCCACATACTTATTTTGTTTTTTTTTTCTGCCTTTTATAGCATATTAAAATGCATGTCTAGATAGATCATTTGATGGATTATTTTAAAATGTCAATATATAAACAATGGTAAATTTGAAATACTTTGTGCATGTCCTACAGCTCCATAACTAAAGAACTGCAAAGATTTGAAGGAAACAATGACACAAAGAGCAAAATACTGTCATATTTAGAATAAGATTACAATTTGGACTAAATTTTGTAGTGTGCTGAATACTGATTAATAATGCTGTCTGTGATTGCATGTTATTGCTACAATTTTGAGACAAAGGGATGAAACAATTGTGTTTCAAAGTGCCCTTTTTAGTTGGGTTTTTTTTATCCTAAAGTAATGTTTTTTTGTTTTTTTTGCAAATGGCAGACCATAATACTAACCAAAAATCTTGTCTATGGAGGCATTGGAAGGAAGAGTACAGTTGAAAATAGAAAACTGTCTCTTCAGTCTCTGGGGAATGTCATTTCGTCCCCCTCCAGGATGGATCATAGCTGCCAAGAATTGGATATCCAGAATGTTGGTGAACTCTCCTGGTTTCTCCAGGTTAAAGAAGCCATTTTGCTCCATCAGCTGCCGAACTATCTCATTGGTGACCTGTGAAGAGAGTAAATGGGTTCTGTCAACGTTTTTTTTTTTTTTTGTTCAAACTTTGCAAATAGAGAGTCCACATTGAGAGAATAGATGTTTTAGCACCAGTGCACTAAAAAGGAATTATGCAAATCAAGTGTCTTGATTTATAATCAACAATGTATTATATCATAATTTGATAAATGACTGCTGACATGTCGAAGAGAAAATGTACACAACTGTCTCCTTTAAACAAAATAATGTCTACCACCTGCTTTCAGAGGGGGAGATTGGTGCAACATAAATTATACAAGGCAAACAATGCTGAATTTTGGGAATAATAAACTTAATTCCAATAGAAAGGAGACCTGTTTACCTGTAACAGCACAGATAGACCTTAAAAAATTTATTTTGGGTGGTTAGTGAATAGGATGCAGGTATTTGTCTTGAAACTGTTTAATGAATTCACCTGTGCTTCTTGGGAATGAAACTTTACCACATAAAAAAAGCACAAACATACAAATAGTGTGTGTTACATTATGCAGCTTAAAGGAACTATTTAGGCAGCTTTTTTCATATGCAGTTTCTTACCTGGTCACCCCACTCATTGATCACAGGCATATTGATGTCGTCAATAAAGATGGACATTTTTTTTCCTGCCGGAGGGCCATACGTGGTTCCCATTCGTTTATCTACATAACTCTCCACAGAACGCTAAAAAGTCCCAGTCACAGAAACAGTCATAAACATGCAGATTACACACAAATACATCTAACAGCTGCTCACAAATTAGGAAGCACAGATTAGATTTGGATCAATAACACAGTCAATAATGAATAATGAAGCAGGGAATGTGATGGAACCATTAGCCAGGCTAAATAACCCTTAACATCTGAGTCTAGGGATTGCTACCCACACTGATGCTTTCAGTTCATTTTGGGTTTCTTGGTGTCACATTTGCCCAAAAGATAACACTTTTTACGAAACCTGTAAATACACTATAATGCTGTTAACGTATATATTTCACACTACTGTTCAAAATTGTGGTCGTTATTTTTATTTATTTATTTATTTTTTATTTATAAAAAATTTTTTCAAATTAAATGTGTGCTTTTATGCTCACCAAGGCTGCATTTATTTGATCTGGGGCAGCCGTAGACTAATGGTTAGAGAAGTCGGACTTGTAACCCAAATGTCACCGGTTCGAGTGTCGGTACCGGCAGGGATTGCAGCTGGGGGAGTGAATGAAACGTGCTCTCTTCCACCCTCAATACCACGACTGAGGTGCCCTTGAGGAAGGCACCAAACACACAACTGCTCCCCGGGCGCTGCAGCAAAAATGGCTGCCCACTGCTCCGGGTGTGTGTTCACAGTGTGTGTGTGTGTTGTTTTAACTTTTATACTTAGTATGATCAACATATTGCATATTTACATTTACATTTAGTCATTTAGCAGACGCTTTTATCCAAAGCGACTTACAAATGAGGACAATGGAAGCAATCAAAATCAACAAGAGAGCAATGATATGTAAGTGCTATAACAAGTCTCAGTTCGCTTAACGCAGTACACGTAGCAAGGGTTTTTTTTCTTGGTTTTTTTTTTTATTATATAATAAATAAAAATAGAATAGAAAAATAATAGAGCAAGCTTTTTTTAAGAAAACAAGCAGCTAGTAAATGAATAGAATGCAAGTCTAAAAGGGGCAATTTTTTTTTTTTTTAAAGAATAGTATTAGAATAGAGAGTCCTACAGCTAGAGGGTCAAATAAAGATGGAAGAAATGTGTTTTTAGCCGATTCTTGAAGATGGCTAAGGACTCAGCTGCCTGAGTTGGGCAGGTCATTCCACCAGGAGGGAACATTTAATTTAAAAGTCTGTGAAAGTGATTTTGTGCCTCTTTGGAATGGCACGATAAAGCGACGTTCACTTGCAGAACGCAAGCTTCTAGAACATAAGTCTGAAGTAATGAATTTAGGTAAAGGGGGGCAGAGCCAGTGGTGATTTTGTAGGCAAACATTAATACCTTGAATTTTATGCGAGCAGCTATTGGTAGCCAGTGCAAATCGATAAACAGAGGTGTGACGTGCATTCTTTTCCGCTCATTAAAAATTAATCTTGTTGCCGAGTTCTGGATTAATTGTAAAGGTTTCTTGCAGAACGCAAGCTTCTAGAGGGCACATAAGTCTGAAGTAATAAATTTAGGTAAAGGGGTGCAGAGCCAGTGGTGGTTTTGTAGGCAAACATTAATGCCTTGAATTTTATGCGAGCAGGTAATGTTAGCCAGTGCAAATTGATAAACAGAGGTGTGACGTGCATTCTTTTTGGCTCGTTAAAATTAATCTTGCTGCCGCGTTCTGGATTAATTGTAAAGTTTTGATTGAACTGTCTGGAAGAGCTGCCAAGAGAGCATTGCAATAGTCCAACCTGGACAGAACAAGAGCTTGAACAAGGAGTTGTGAAGCTTGTTCTGAAGGAAAGAGCCTGATTTTCTTGATGTTGAATAAAGCAAATCTGCAGGACTGGGCAGTTATAGCAATGTGGTCTGAGAAAGTCAGCTGATCATCAATCATAACTCCAAGATTTCTGGCTGTTTTTGAAGGAGTTATGGTTGAT